TTTCACTGGTGAAAATATGACACCCATGTTTTGGTTTAGACACCACAGCAGTACTTATAATAACAAATATAAATGTGTAATTCTACATCGTCCAGCTCAGTTTTACAAAATTAGCCTTGCTACAGAATGCTTGTTGCATAAAACTGATCGGATATTTGGCCATTACTGGATTTAAAATCAGTTATTAACACCATCTTTGCCTGCTTGACCACCATCGCCATGTTAATGGAAGGACTTTGTAGACCACCACCATGTTTTAATGATCCTATGAAAGTCACTCTCAGGGCAGACGCAAAACACAGATTCTATTACGTTAGTACAACTCGGATTAATCCTGTGTTGTACTCGCCACTTGTGACGTGACAATCTGTAAGGTTTATGCAAAGTTAGTTTTCAATACTTCCAACAAGCTACCAGCAGGAACCTCACGTCTGACAAAAAAAATCTATGCAGCGTCAACAGACGGTGCTACCAGACAAATTTAGATTCCTTAAAAAACACTGAATACATTAAGCGACTGAGCCTTGACAAGTTAAACAGTATGACTTACCTTGTGTGGTACTCCAGTCTAATCCACCCACAAAAAGTTTCCTGAAAGTAGAGGTTACCCTGAAGTTAGCACTGATCATCACCTTGAGTCAGAGTAAATGAACATCTGTAAAGCATCAAAGTCTTACATGCATAATCAAAAAAAAAAGAAAACAAACACAAAAAAACACACAGAGACAAAAATCCACTCCCCAGAGGCCTTAAAAAAGCCTAAAAACACTGAGATCTTTAGTGCAGAGGATTGGAAGCACAGCTGACTAAACAGCCATGCACAAAGATATTACACAACATGAGGCAACCCTGCCACCAAAGCTGGTGCAGCATGAGCATAAAAACACACAGATCCAGGTAATGCTCGAGTTTAACGTGGCTCGTGTTGAGGTCCAGTTATCGCCGTGGATGTCCCTCTGCTCTCCCAACACTCAATGCAATGGCCTCGACAATAAAGGTCTTTTTATGAACCTCCTGCCACGTAAGTTACCCCGGGACAGAGCCATGGCGTTTAGCAAGCTAACACAAACTGAGTCCAGAAGCCACGGCAGCCTCAGTCACCGCTGAAACCTCGTGGATTTTACTGCCGGAGCGGAGCGGAGCGGAGCGCCTGCTCGGCTCCCTGCATGCGGACCACTGAACTCGGATGCTGGCTGCATTGCTGGAAGTTTAGCGGCAGTTTAAACGCTACAACTATCAAACCAGCTAGCGAGTTCGTTAATGTTTGTTTAAGGTTACCGCTGAAATACAGCAGTGATCAATGCAGCGTGTGGGACAGAAGTGGAGGCTTGGTGCAGACGAGGATGCTCCATCCTCCAGCAGTGCCCGCTAAATGTCCTCGCATTGGCGAAGTCAAGAGCAGCAGACTTTCGCTTCGCTGGCAAGCGCTAGCTAAACTAGCTCAGTTGCTTCGAGCTAACTGGAAACAACACTGAAATAAGTAACTACACTTCCACGCATTCCCTTGACAAGCGGAGTGGGAGCACTCCGGACAAACATGGTCTATTCCACCACAAGTCCTAACACCAACAACGGAGCTACTTTGAAGACTAGTTTCACTTTTTGGCCGTCTTTCCTCAGGCTAGCGATGTCGCTAAGTTACTGAAGCTAGCTTAGCCTGCTAGCTAATGTTAGCTGTCAAATGACAGCTTGACAGCATAGCGCGCTAACTATAAGTTACTCTGCAATATACAGTTTGTCGTGAACACAGTGGACGGCTTTGTGAAATAGATCTTACCCGACTTCATCTCCGACTAAGTTGTTGTTCATTTCTGAGGCTAAAGCGGGGGACTATAGGAGCTGTGACCGGCTTCTTGCTTCAGTGCTGCCCCTCTCAGACTGAGAGCGGAGGAAGGTCACTCCGCTTTTTGGTTCAAACTGTTCTGCGCAATGACGACGCTGCAGGGGGCAGCGGCCTTTAAAGGAACATTACACCCAACCAGCCCCTCAGTCTGCGTTAGATTGAACCATCCTACAGGGGAAGCTAAGTGCTTTAAACACACGTCTCTTTTGACTTGTGTTCATTCAGTATTCTGATCAGGCTTTGACGAGGTAAACCTGAGCAGGAAACAGCCCCAAATGATAACCAGCATAATATTTTAACAACATAAAAACAGCTATAGACACAGACAGACCTCACATGGCACAAAAAACACACAAGTCAACATTGTGTTGGGTTGCTGTAGGACCACAAGGCCATCTAGACTTCTGTTATGGTTTGTTATTCCTTTATTTAAGTCATTAGTCTTCGAGACTAGATTAGATTCAGGTAGAGAATTATGTGCAAGGAAAAAAACATATAAAAGCATGAACAAGCACAATTCAAGCACACAGTTACACACACAATAGACAAAGACATAATTCATTAGAGACAGCCATAACAAGTGGCATTCAGCGTGCTCGGGCATCATGTTTTGAAGTCTTCAAGTAGAATAAGAACTTTTATCTTCAGGGGTATTTTCATCTAAGGAGCACAGTTCAACTTTTAAAAAGATACACCCAAAACCGATCTTTCTTATTTTTTTAAAAAAAAAAGAAGAAGCTTGGCCCACAGTGCTGCTCCAGGAAAGGTTCCAGTGAGCGTTGGAGAAAAAAAAAAAAACCTCCCAAACCAAAGAGCATCTTTCTATTTGCATTAATGTGCAGTCAGTAAATTTTATGCAAATTCAGTCATTACTTTTCAAGATCTGTTGCTGACAAACAGATGATGACCATGTGGCACCCACTCTTTGGATGAGTTGATAAAACACAGCGCGAGTGACGAGCGGGGAACAGTGGCATTTAGAACATGAAATGCAAATGTATGTGACACAGGTGACACATAATGTAGAGTGATTAAATAACACCTTTCAGGCAAAACGCCCATTAATTTACATTTAAAAATAGCCTGTGACAACCTGACGAGCTGAAGTTTGTATGTTCTGCACAATACTAACAGTGTTCATGTTCTTTCACTCAGGTAAATGATCTCAATCCCCGTTCAGCCCTGATTAATACATTATGTTTTACCATTTGTGGTAATGAATGGCCTGATGAACTTACTTTTATCATCTGTCCTGGTATTTTCTTTATCTTTAACAATATTATTTGATGCTGCAGTGATGTCTTTTTTTCCCCATGAGGATCAATAATTTATCTTTAATCAATTAATTCTAATCCTATTTGTCACATTTAGGTCTTTTGAGGCTTTCATTGTTGATAAAAGCGTGTTTTAACTTAGAGAAAAAAACTTCTGTTGCGTTAGAAAATCAGATAGCACATTAAGGAGAGCAGTCCTCTTCTGCATCTTTCAGTTTTTGAACATTTTATCTTCCGATCACAGATTTATTAGTGCAATAAGCTCGCAACACTTACCAAAGGCTCAACAAAAGCTCAAGTCAAATCAGATTTAACAGGAAAAAAAATACAAATGTTCTGCTAGTTGGAAAAAACATGCAAGATCTTTGAGAAGATAAAATATAATTCAAAAATACCTTATTTAATCATGACAACCATACCGTCATAATTTTTTACAAATGCTTTCTTCTTTTCTGTCGACCTGCCATTTTCAAAGTCAAATAAGCAGATTACATCACGCAACTAATTAACAATAAAAATAGAAGTACACAGACGTCCCTGTGGTAGCGTTCCCTGAGCTTTCACGACGTTCCACGTGGGAATAGTGAAAGTCAGAATGAGCTTCATCTTCTCACTCAGTGTAACGTTTGTCCCTGAAAGATGTTCCTGTTTCTCTTTTACGCCCTGATATCGTTTCTGGGGGACAAAATCAGGTCACACATCAGTATGTCAAGATTTGTACCAGACTCTCCGCTGGGACTGGAGCTCTTTCTGTCAGATTACAATGAACATGGGGGGAAACAGCTTGATCATGTTTCTTAGAGGAAGCGGGCTCACTTGAAATCTGTCCTGTTTTCTTAGTGAGGAGTCAGAAAGGGGGGAATGGTGATTTTACAGCACGTCCATCAGTCTAATAGGGAGTAAACTCAGAGGTATAATCAGATAATTGTTGAATTATGTTCAGCAGCATCTTGTAGACATGTTTATTTTTTAATCATTTTATGTTTCAAGGATCATAAGGTTGAACATAAACAGGACAAATAATACTTCATTGCACATGTCAGCAACAAATGCATGTTAGATAAATTAAAATCAAAGCTGTTTGTGTACAATGCAAACCAATAAACTGCAAAGTCAGTGGTCGTCTCTCAGCAGACTTTTCACTGTGGCTGTAAAACTGCAGCTCTTCAGACTGGGAACCAGTTAAAATGTCTCTCCTCATACGTGACAGTTTTTCTCATCAGTAAATCTTCTTTTTAATGCCAGTCCGATACGTTACTACAGCTAAAGTCAGGTCCCATGATGTTTGATCAACAGGCGGCTTTGCAGCGCTGCAGTCTGTGTGGGACGACTGCAATAGAAGTCCGTCTTGCATCATCCATTTGAGACATTTGTCATATTACCATAAAGCCACAGGCAGCTGTTTCCAACAACTCTGTCTCTGTAAAGGCTCCACTCACTTTGAAGAAACAGCGCCCTCTTCCTGCTGTGTGCTGCACCACAACCCGGCAGGTTTCTCACTGCAGTTTGCCATCGGGGGCACCGCTGAGGGTTACCTTGAGTTACCACGGCAACAATAGAGTCACTACAAGGTCACTATTAGTACTGAGGTACTACCATAAAGGATGTCAGTAGAAACCTCCCAGACTTAAAGGGTGAGTTCTTCCAAACACGCTGCGTTTCTTCCTTCCGTCTGGTGCAGGTTTGTATGTTAGATAGTCACTTTGTCAGCCGGTATTCTGGTGTATCCACAGTCATTCATGGTGACGTCTCCCTAAGCACCTTCTGCACTCCACATCATCTCACTCCCACCTCTGTGCTTCACTGTCAGGACCATGCGACCACTGTGGTAGTCCTGAACTTGATATTTTGTGCTGGTGCACAAGCAAGATTTTTATTTTTTATTTTTTTATCTTCGATGCTGTCCTCAGAGGTTCATGTTATGTAATGTCCTTCACACTGTCTGAGCTGTCACAGAAATTCCAATTACCTTTGATAACCCCCACGCCAAGTCTGGAGCACTGGCCTCTTTGTTTTTAGAGCTGGATTGTGAAAGCAGTGCACAGTCCGCGGCGTCATTTTAGGTAGAAAGATCACTTCTGTACCTCAAGATTACTGCTCTGTTTCTACTGATTATTACACTTCTCCTCAGTCGCTTTGGTGCATTTCTCTGATCAGAATTAAAATTCTCATAACTGTTAGTTCAGCCTCCACAACATTTAGTCATTTGTGCACATCATCATCGTAGCAGTTTCTCATTCCTTCCAACAAATTGCAAATGCTTTTGGACATGCATCAATTGCTTTCATACAATTCTCTGCTATCCTTATGAATGCTGAGTAGTCATTCCCTATAATACTAACAGTCCTCGTTTCATTGCTTGAGTCATTACGTACAAAAAATGTTGAACGACTTGTCAAGATCTGTCAAGCAAATTTTATACATTTCTTTATCATTTTAGACGCTCTTTATGGGACATGATCCCTGAGAATGAGAGGGGTCTAACTGTCTGAACAAGTATGCTGTTGTTTGGTCAGATCTGGTCAGATGCTGGTGGAATATCTCCCTCCCTGCTCCCCATTCATAAATCCAACAGGGGAGTTTTTCTCTGCCTGGAGGTGGAAGGTATATGACTGGCATCCACAGACCCAAATGGCCCTGCTAGCGGCCGTGGATGCAGCATGTGATGACATGGCAGCAGAGTCCTGCAGAGGGTGGACTCGCCACTCGAGGAGATACTTTCCTCGCTGCATTGCAAGGAATGATATTAACTGTGATGTAGAGGAAAGTATAAAGAGTTCATTTGCAAAATCAGATAACTCCGTCTTCACAAACCTTCAGAAAACCCACTTCTCCATCGTCTACCTGAGACAACATCAACCAAACTTAAGTTATCTCTGTTTTTGTCATTTCTACTGAGTCAAATCCACTCAGCTTCAGTTTGATTGATATTATCTCAAGCAAACAACAACAAAAAATTTTCTAAAAATTATATGGCAATTTGGAAAAAAACTCTTCATGCATTCCTTACTTGTGGTATAGATTTGACAGAGCAATACAAACTGTGATCACCGTGTAATAGAATGAACACATGATGTTCTCTCTGCGTGGCTCATTCTGGAGCGTTTTAGGGTGGAGTTTACCGTAAAGCATTACGGAACAAAAGCTAGACAATAAAAACTGCTCAACAGGTTGACCGAGTAAACCTACCTCTAAGTGGCTGATGTCTGGCTTCTTCTTTTGCTTTTTTGTACTCTAAACCTTATGACCTTGGAGCTCTAGCATGCCGTCATTGACTAATTTAAATGCTTAAACACCTTCAGTTATTATGTAATCCTTTTCCTCTCATATGGGTAAAAGCAGAGGACCAAACAGCTCTCAGTTTGCTCCCAAACTCTAACAGCTTCAGTGGATATGTATTCTTTTACTCGGCTTTGTTAATACCTCATGGTTATTTCTCGTCTGTTCTCTCCCCAGCATTGTCATTTTGTGAAGGATAATTAAGATTTCAATCTAATGTTCCTATAATCTGTTTAAACTACATCCAACATTTTGGTGTATTATTGAGCCATTAACACAAAGAGGATGTTTAAAAGTGCATTATTCTTTAATGTTTGCTTTTATGGCAGCTTTATTATTCCAAACAAGCATTTCTTTGTCGGCAGGTTTGCTCTGCTGGCTGAGGCAGTTTTGAAAGTGACCCCAGTGACCACAACACATCTGTCTGTAGTCCAGTTACACCTGAAAGGATCCGACTGTGAACACTCTCCTGTCCCTAAG